AAGGCTATTTCTGACAGACAGTGGGGTGACGTCCTGTCTGAAAGCGACGGGTGCTCGCATACCTCGTGGAGAGACTGGCTGGCATAGACGGTTCGCCAGTCAGTAGGTCAGTGACCAGAGCAGGAAGTAAAGAGCGCCCGGTGAGGTGGACCGGGTTGGCAGGGCTGCCAGGGAGGCTGTAGGACGGGTAGGGAACAGAGAACCAGTCCAGAATGGTGGGAGTAATGTCTGCCATAAATAGAGAGAGAGAAGAAGAGAAAAGGCAGGAAAAAAAACAATGTAGTAGCTCATCTGAGGTAATACCTTACATTTGTTCATATTTATAGAAATAATAATAGTACAGTGTGTCTTATGTTATACTGTAAACAGAGGGACATCTTTATAAATACACATCACTGTCCAATGAAAACCACATTCCTTTCAAATTTTTCATATGAATTTAAGGATCAGGAGAAATTTGTCACATTTTTTAAGATAAATGAATTTAAAACACAGTCTCAACTCTACAAACTGTCTGTCACAGCTCATGAAAAGTTGACCTTAGGGAGATACATGCTTTTGATAGGACAGCGAATAATAAGTTAATGTCTCACATCCTTAATGTTCATTACACCTGCTGGTTATATACTTAAATGCCTGCCATGGTTACAGTTTATTTAATGTGCTGAAATGATCTTCTGCAAACGAACTGTTCTGCTGCTGATGCATCATTGTTAAGTCTCCCTCTTGTGGCTGATCAAGCACATCAGACACACATACTGACTTACTTGTTGTTAAAGCTGGGGTAGGTGACGTTGGAGAATTTAGCAAGAGACTCTGAAGGTTTTCCCAGTGAAAAAAATCTCTCCCCCTCCTTTCAGGCCTCCCTCCAAAGCCACTCCCACATGTTATCTGGGCTGAATGAGACAATTGTCTGTTTATCACAGGCCTGCCAAAGCCACACATACCAAATTTATTCCCGCCGGAGTATTTGATTTTTCGATTGCTATCGGCATGTAACAAAAAATGCTTCTGGAATACATAACCCTACCCTAGCTTTAATTTGTTTGAGCCTGCAGTTCCCAAACTGGGGGTCGGGAGCCACAAAGGGGTCCCAAAATAAATCTGAGCAGTTACAAGATGATTAAAGGAAAGATAACATTTATATTACACAAAACTATGTTTGTTTCTGACTGTTCTTTTTTTTCTCTCATTACTGACTAAGTCAATAACATTCAATGAGTGATCAGACAGAAGTAGATATTGCTTCATTTTAAAGAGCCACAAGCCAAGAAGGGTTAAGGTGTAAACTGGTGTGATCACAAACTTGGAACTAAACCTGCTATGTGGTCACAGCGAGTGGCTGCAGGACTTTATGGTATATATTTTTTGTGAGTTTCCCAACTTCCCAACCTCTTTCAGGTATCGATCTCTTACCCAGCAGGCTAACGTAGGCCTGGCTGGTGTCTCCCCATCGCTCCCTGTGCTCTGGAGAGGACAACAGCATGGGCTCTGCAGTCCCGGAGCGATACAGGTTGGTTCTGCCGTTCGGGAAGGGGATGCCATTATCTGAGCTGTAGATGACCAGAGTGTCGTTCTCATAACCAGCGTCCCTTAGCTCCTGAAGAACCAAACCGATGCCTGCAGAGGAAATTTACACTATTATAGTTAGTGTTTTACAATATTTTATTTTGTGCATCTGTGTTGTTACATACCTTGATCCAGCCTGCTAACTGTGGTGTACTGTGCAGCCAAGTCGGCCCGTGCTGCGGGTGTATCCGGCACAAAAGGAGGAACCTGAAGTACAATAGATGAGGACGGACCAGATTAACTAATATGTTGTACAGATGATAATTCTTGTTATCCACATTTGAAAACAAAATCTTTTTTTCACTGACCTTCACTTGTTCTGGTGTGTAATATTCTGGTGTCCAGTCAGGTATCCTACCCATCCCCATTTCACCATTCCCAAACTTCTCGCAGAAGGCTCCATACTGGGGCTGCGAGTGTCCACATCGGTGGGTGTCGTGAAAGGCAACATAAAGGAAAAATGGCCTGCCTTCATCTTTTATATTGACTTTAATGTCTTCCTTCTTTCGCCTTCGTTCAAAGGCTTCCTCTTTATGGGTCTGGAAAAACTTGCGGACCAGGAGTTTTATGCGTGTGATGTTCCTCCCCACCTGAAGGACAGAGCTGTTCTCCTCTGTGTAGGCAAAATCAAAAGGGTATACAGATCCAGGGCCGACATGCTTCTTCCCAATTATACCTGAGAAAATGAGAGAAATAGTGATGAAAAGCAAGAGTAGACTTTATTATATAAACTGGTGTCTTTGTTATTTACCTGTGTGTACGTTGGCTTGGCTGAGGAGCAGCGACAGACTTTGTACTCCGTCAAACGAGTTAAAGTGATGAACACCCTGATGAAGCCCATACATGCCGTTCTGGTGCTGAAAACACAGATCAAACAGACCTAAATACTTGCCTTCATGCACAAATGAAAGGCGTCGGTGTGTGGTGTTCTATTTTTGTTTTACCTGCGGCAGGCCGGTGAGGATGGTGGAGCGGCTGGGGGAGCAACTGCTGACAGAGGTGAAGGCGTTGCTGAACACCAGGCTACGCTGGGCCAGAGAGCGCAGGTGGGGTGTGTGGACCACAGAGTTGTTATACACCTCCGTCTCAAAACCTGCATCATCAGCTGGAAGAGGGAAAAGACCCGTTTCTTAGCACTTACACCACGCCAAAAGTTTGTGGAAAAGATTTTGGAACCTGGCTGAATTCAGACACAAGAGCATTAGTGAGCCTCTATTATTGCATGGTTACAGTTCAATTAAATGAGCATTGTCTAAACCAAAACATGCCATAAGACCTAGTAGAGCTTTTTAATGTGTACCCCCCCCCCCCCAAATTAGTTCAATTTTCAAAGGAATGGTTTTTATATTTAAAGTGTATTGAAAGTACTCCCGAGTTTAACTTCCTTTGGAAAAGTAAATATTCATGTCAGGCTTTACACCTGTTTCCTGTCAGCTGTTTAAATTGCCAAACTACACAATTAACATCTGGTTAATTCATCTATAAATCTCAAGTGAAAGTCCATGAAATGTACTTTATCTATATCCATACTGTGATATAAAATTCAGCATATACCATGATAGAAGACTTGCACTCAGTTACTAGTTTATTAGGTTGCTAAAACAGTCTAATAATACAACAGGCCGTCATAAAGGTTATGTTTTAGTGCCAATGTTCTGAGTCAACTTTATGGTCATTTAGGAGGATGTGGTGCTGTGTGTGTTTTTGTTACTTTGTACGACCAGTGAGGGTAGGCTTACTAACAGAAACACGTCTCTGTATAATGCAATAGGATTTAATGCAAATCTCCTCTATTAGAACCCATTAATTTTAGCGGGTGCCTGATAAACTGACAGTGTGTATGTTAGCAATTTAATTCTTCCAGAGTTCAAGAGACATTTGAAGTCTTTAAAAGTGGAACGACTTACCACTTCAAGTTCACTTACCAATAATTAAAAGGACATTTCTTGTCTTTGATTGCCCGATGCAACATGATGCCAAAAAGAGAATAAACAACTCGAGCCCCATGATGGTGGTCAGTTAGTTCTCTTCCCTGTTACTCCAACGCCTGCTAAGTCTCAAAACACCTGTGTTGGTTTGGCTCTGAAACATTTCACGTGAGTCAAAACACTTACATTCACTAAATAAAATACATTCAGCCGTCAAAATGAAAGATAAGTGCATAAAGTTACTTGTAGACCTATGTACCAGATCCATGAGGGTCTTCCTCAAACATCTTAAGCCCCGCCCACATGTGCTCACATGACAGGGGTCACGTGACGATAGAACAACGTCTCGCGCTTCATCCGCAAAATGACATAAATTTTAGGAAGTGGTTTTAGCAAAGGAAGAGTGCTGTGACAGAAAATTATCTGGAAATCACAGCCGAACCAGGGAACAGTGTTAAAGACGGAGACATTTGTATCGGTAAGATTTCTTTTCTCTTCTGATGTGTTTTTTTTGTTTTGTTCTATTCTGTCTTAATTTATTCTATTGTGTTTGTTCCAGTCTCACAGCTTTGATTAATTCGATTATTTCTCCACTTAGTCAATGCAACATCAATCAGTTTTAGAAGAATATAAAAGCCTTCGTAACACAGACACATGATAGGACCCAATTTGAGATTAATAATATATCACTGTAAGATGAGGCTGCTGGTAGCTCACGTAGCACTGAGGAATATCTGTGGGGATGTTTGTTTGTCAGGGAACTTTACAGCTGCCAGGTGATTGTGGAGAAACAAGTTCTAGCTGTAAACACATCACTGATATCAGACAGGTATGCTTGTGATCCTCATGATTATAAAGCTGGTTAAATGAAGGGTCACAAAAAAAAACATAAAATATCTGGCCTCAGTTGGCATTATTTAATATACTAAACACACTTGTAAACATGTGTAGTAAGTGGAGGTTATAGTTAATGTGACATGTCAGCTTGCAAGTTAGATGACTGATGATGTTTTTTTGTTTTTTTTTCACAGATCACAGCATGCATCTGAAGATATGGCGCCCACTTTCTCTGATGTGCTGTGTATTTGTCCAGACAAACATGCACACAGAGCACACCTTTCCTGTGTTTCCCTGAATACTGGGCTGTTGGGGAAGACGACTCTCAGGAGGCAAAGTAAAGCCGATGAGGAGGAAACTTGATCGCTTTGTGTATGTGGCTTTTATTCTGTAATCAGCCCACTCATTCACACGTTTGAATATGTAAAACGTAATTTTATCTTTGTGCACTTGCTGCTGTCTCTTCATCCTTTCCGCCGTCATCCTACTCTCCAAGTTCTCCGTCCTCACCTCTAATTCTTGTGCGATGGACCGGCCTCTGCTGGGACGAGGTTCAGCCCGGCGCTGCTGCTCCTATAGCACCCTGAAGGCCTGGCTGCCCATCCTCTCCTGGTTACCCAGTTACAAGCTGAAGTGGCTTCAGATGGACCTGCTCGCAGGCCTCACCGTTGGGCTGACAACTGTACCGCAGGCACTGGCTTATGCTGAAGTAGCTGGCCTTCCTGTGCAGGTGAGTCCTTGCTGTGTTGTGTGTGTGAAGGTTCAACTTTTGGATTCATGTTTTCTGATATTTCATTCACCAAATGAGCAATCAATTAATTGGGAATCTTTAATCTATCAAGATTAAAGATCCCTTCCTGTCATGTTTTAAAACATCTAAAATTACTCTTATAATGCATGCTGAATTGCATATTGAGTGGAGAGGGACTTTAATAAATTAGTTGCAGCTCTATTCATTATTTAATCAGAAAGCATTTCTCTCCACAGTACGGACTCTACTCTGCCTTCATGGGGGGGTTCATGTACACCCTCCTCGGGACCTCTAAGGATGTGACACTTGGTCCCACGGCCATCATGTCCCTCCTGTGCTTCTCCGTGGTGGGGGGGCAGCCCCACCGAGCCGTGCTGCTCAGCCTCCTCTGTGGACTCATCCAGGCTGTAATGGCATTACTGAGATTAGGTGAGGGGAGGGAACTCATGTGAAAACCTTGTGACACCAGTTTTGGTGTTTTTCTTAGTTTTGTAAACACTCGTGAGCCAAGTGGATGGACTCAAAAGGGTGTTTTTAGCAAAATAAAAATGAGTTTTTATTCACACATTGTGACATATTGTTTTCACCTGATAGCAATGACATTTTAGCATTATATCTTCCAATCTGTAAAATTTAGGGTGAGCTGTGTATCAAAACCTGATATAAAATATTACAATATTTAAAATGAATTGTTTAGAGAAAGAACTGCAGAGACTGTGAAGAAACAGGAGATTAGTTAGTGAGTGCACTTCCTGCCACCACATCTACAACTTCCTCTGCTTAACCACACACACAATTTCTGTGATATCTTTTATTTTGGTTCAGTGTCGTATCAAAGCTTTGCTCGTCTTCTGCAGGTTTCCTGCTGGACTTCATCTCTTTTCCTGTAATAAAAGGCTTCACTTGTGCTGCTGCGGTAACCATTGGCTTTGGCCAGGTCAAGGTGACGCACGCACGCACGCACGCACGCACACACACACACGTACAATAACACGTACATACTATACTAAGCAAGCAGTTGCAGTTCTTGAGTCTGGATTTTAACATTGAGCAGACATTTTCCAATACATTTATCAGCACAATATTGTGGACTGATATTAGTTTATCTTAGTAAAAAGAAAATGCACAGCAGAAATGCCAAAGGTATGTTTGAGGTAATTTTGAAACAGTGATTGTTGGATAAACTACACACCAAACTGAGAGCACAGCCAATTTTATTTGAAGCTGAAAAAAATGTCCTGCTCTGTGACAACACCTTGGTCACAATTCTTACAATAATAAATTATATCCTTGTGTTTAACGGTCAAATATTGGATATATGGAGCATCCATGTCAGTTATCCAGTATCAGTCTGTCTCTATATCAGTATTTACAGAGCAGCAAGGTCTCACACACCCTTGTTTCGCTGTAATAACCTGACTTGTTCTGGTATGACAGCAGCTAATGGTGCCTGATGTCAGCAAGCATTAGGTCACTAACTATTTCCATATAATGGATATTACTGAGTCAGTTTAAAGTTAATTCTGTCACGGCTACCGTATACACTGTCCAGCAAAAGTGACATATGTTCACTTTAACTGGGGCCTTGTGACATTTATTGCAGGTTGTTTCCCCAAATCTTCCAAAGATGTTATTCTGCTTTTATCTGTTGCTGCTTTTTAATCTTTAAAGAGTAAAGAATTATGCCCTGTTCCTGTCTTAGTGCCAGTGGTCTCAGCTGATGGCAGTCCTGTTGTTTTCTGTTTCTAGAACATTCTGGGACTCCAGGGCGTTCCGCACGAGTTCTACCTGGAGGTTTACTACACCTTCTACAAGATCCCAGAGGCCAGGATTGGTGATGTGGTACTAGGTCTGCTCTGTCTTGCTCTGCTGGTCATGTTGTTGTTTATGAAGACGAGTCTGGGCTCTGACGACGCTCCCACCTACTCCAGAGTCGCCTGGAAAGTAGTGTGGACTGTTGCTACCAGTGAGTACTTGTGTACAACTGTGTAAATGTCACACACATGTACACTAAAGACGGTGTTAAAAAATTAGTAGCCAAATACTAAAATTATAGCTCTTTTATCTTTATTTCTGTTATTTAATTTACACTGAATAATCTGTATTCCAGGATGCGTATATATTTAGCTTTTATGATGCTGGTGTATAAAATATGAATTTTTGTTTTTGATACATGTTGTGATTTTCTAAAACCTTCCTCTTTCCTCCAACTTCTTCTCTGTCTTGGTCAGTGCGTAACGCTCTGGTGGTCATGGCTGCATCCTTAGTAGCATTTTCCTGGGAAGCTTACGGTTATCACGTGTTCACAGTCACTGGGAAAACTTCCCAGGGGCTACCGCCGTTCAGTCCCCCACCCACCTCAGACGCCACAGCCAACGGCACCGTCGTCTCCTTTGGGGAGATTGTTGAGGTAAGGAGCAGAGAGACGAGGCCAGCCACGGGGTGAGGGCAGTCACTCTTTGTGATTCAAGTGATTCACTTGCAACTTTCACTTCCCAAAATCTTTCCAGTTTGCAAGAAGTGCAGCTGACTAGACACTTCTCTTCTCTGTGGTTTTGTGCAGGGCTTTGGAGGAGGACTGGCTGTGATTCCTTTAATGGGTCTGTTGGAGAGCCTTGCTATTGCTAAAGCTTTTGGTAAGTATTTTTAGCCACACTAGTAGTATCGTTTCTAGACAGCGTTGGTCAATCCACCCCTTTGGTCCAGACTGAAATATCTCAACACCTATTGGATGGATTTACATGAAATTTTGTACAGACATTCATGTTCCCCAGAGGAGGAATCATGATGAGGATTTTGGTAATCCCCTGACTTTTCCTCTAGTGCCACCATCAGGCCAATTTTACATTTGTCCAACACTTCTGTTTATGAGATTCCCATCAGCCTTTGTGCTAATCAGCAACTGTTAGCATGCAAAACTAACATTGTGAACATGGTGAACATTATAACTGCTAAACATCAATATGTTATCATTGTCATTGTGAGCATGTTAGCATGCTGATGTTAGCATTTAGCTCAAAGCACCGCTGTCCCGAAGTACAGCCTCACAGAGCTGCTATCATGGCTGTACACTTCATTATTTGAAATGTCGACTTTATGTAAACATTTTATAACCTGTTACATTATACCACACATTATACCACCATTAGATGGCAAGGCAGCTAAAGAATGAGTCTTGCCTGATTCTAACTTCCTGTTTCACCTCAGCCAGTCAGAACGACTACAGAATTGATGCCAACCAGGAGCTGCTGGCTATTGGTGTGACCAACATCATGGGCTCCTTTGTGTCAGCCTACCCTGTTACTGGCAGCTTTGGGAGGTGTGTGCGTGTGTGCGTGTGTCATGTTTTTTTTTTTATATCCGGGTTTGGGTTACAATTAGGTTAGGGGTAGGGTAGAGGTTGGGCATGTAGTTGTGTTGGTAAAGGTTGGGATAAGAGGTTAGGGAGTGCAATATGTCAATGACATGTCCCCACCGGGATAGAGTAATAAACATGTGTGTCTGTGTGAGAGAGAGAGAGAGCAGATGTCATGTATTCTTGACAGTGACATGTTTTCTGCTCACATCCAGGACAGCGGTGAACTCCCAGACTGGTGTTTGCACTCCAGCTGGAGGGATCATTACCAGTGAGTCATGACCCTTTCAACTTTTGCTGCATCTCTTCTGCCCTCTGGTGGTGCACTGTTATTTTTACTGTTACAGTGCATTATGTGCTGGTTCAATCAGATACGTGTTTTTCTTAGTTTGTAAATGATGAATTTCTGTACAGTTCACCTTCTCTCTGTGTGTTTTTGCAGGTGTGATCGTATTGCTTTCCCTGGCGTTCCTCATGCCGGCCTTCTACTACATCCCCAAGGCCTCACTAGCTGCTGTTATCATCTGTGCGGTAACTCCCATGGTGGATTACCGTGTCGTGGCTAAGATGTGGAGGATACGCAGTAGGTGTCTGTTCAGTTTTTTGTGTCTCACATGTATCTGTTTGTTTAATTGTGGTCTCATGCTAGTGCATCTTCTACAGAGCTGGACCTGCTGCCTTTTGTTGTGACGTTCCTGATGAGTTTCTGGCAGGTGCAGTACGGTATCATGGGAGGTGTAGCTGTATCTGGAGCCCTGCTGCTGTACAACACTGCAAGACCCCAGATAAAGGTAACATAATATTCTGCACAGGACTGTGTATGACAATTAAAGGAAGAGTCCTCTGTGACAGATATTTAGCCTTTCAGTGCCAGCACACAAATGTTTCTTTGCTTCTTTCTTTAACGGTACAAAAGAAATTCGCTTTGGTTAGAGACATGATTGGATCATCATCACTACATGGAGTTAAATTCAACATACATTGCTGCTACTTATTCATCATCTAAACACACCCCTCAGACAGTAATAATAAATTAAATTTATAAAGCACTCTAAATACTCAAAGTTGCTTTACAGATTATTTTTGTGTACAGGTTTCTGATCAAGGTGTGCTGGTGATGGAGTTGGACAGTGGTCTCAGCTTTCCTGCCACAGAGTATCTCAGCCACATCATACACACTTGGGCTCTGCAGGGTAAGGATGTGTCTGGTAGCCTTTTGTTTAAAGGACACCTACACGAAATGGTAATGTGTGGTGATCTCTGTCTTGTTTAACCTCCTCTCATTTACTTGCCCCCAGCGTCTCCACCGCGGTCGGTGGTCCTGGATTGCCATCATGTCAGCATCATAGATTACTCAGTGATCAGTGAGCTGAGGGACCTGCTGAGGCAGTTCAAAAAACGAGAAGTGCGACTGTTTTTTTCCAGATTGCAGGTACGGCATTCTGTCCTGTCTTACAGGCTTTTATTGGAGTACAAATTATTGGCCGTCATTATTTGGCCGTCAAGTTGTTCTTCCAACAAGATTGGAACATTTGCTCACTGTGAATTTCTAAATAAAGTGCTTTTTTGTTTGAGGCTAGAATTCAGCTCTTAGAACAACAAAACTAAATATACAGTATGTACACTTTGTCTCTGTCTTCCTCCCACCTTTAGCCCTTTGTTCTTGAGGTCCTCCTAGCAGCTGATCTGCAGGGCCTCATGTATACAGACAGTGTGGAGGCAGCACTGCAGATGGAGTCGGGAGCCTCCTCAATGACCAACACTGGAGATCTTTGATGGTGGAGAAAAGCGATGTAACGACAATGATCAGTGACATTTCTGGTCTGGGATTATTAGGCCCTCTAACAATTTATTCACTGGCTAGTAGGTGTATGTGGACTGCCAGTGGCCAAGTGATGTCCCTCTGTGTTTCACTGAACTTTATATCTGCTAAACTTGACTTTGTAAATCATTGTGGAATCACTACATTACCATTGCACAATTAACAGAGAACCCTTCTGTTAGGTTTTATGGTTGAAGGTGATGGGTGAGCTTCCAGGGACCAAATCTGAATTTACAGAAGAGGGGTGACTGGTGTGTGAATAACAGAACAGAGCAAAGCTAACTATTATTGTGACTTGTTTTATTTATCTATGTAAAAGGAAATATAAGGTGATTGATTTCTCTTATTGTTTTGTTTGTAAAGAAATGTCATCAAGGCTGTGGCAAAAGTGTTTTGACTTTGAAAATTACTTTAATTGAATTACATTATGAACCTAAAATGAAGGGTTTTTACTGAATAAAATAAATATTTTAAACATTAGGTTGTATTTGAATTACATTTCTAATTAAATTACATTACTTTGAGATCCTGTTGATCTGCATCGAAACACTGACGTAAAGTCTTTGACTCATTGCAGTAAAACAATAAAACATGATCACTTCCAAGGGGGGTAAACAATTTTCATAGGCACAGTAAACTTTTTTTTTTCAAACCATTAAGGATTGTAATGGGAATTTCATAAGAACCATCTTTAAAACACTGCCATGTAACTAATCTCACTAGGGGCCTCCAGGGGTCAATGGAAGGTAAATGTGTGTGATGCTTTAACATATGTCCAGAGGGGTCAGGACTTTAAGTGGTTCACCACATGTACCTTGGACATGGGTGTCTTTCTATAGATCCAGATTGAGTGTCCCCCTCGGGAACGCTCAAAGACACCTTGATGAGATAGTACTCCGACCCTGAGACTAAGATAAAAGCTGCATGAGCTGTTACACTGCAGCTCACTTGGATGATACTCTCTGATGCGTATGTGTCCCTGTGAGTTCCTTCTGCAGAAGACTTGAATAAAATTCACAGAAAGACAAGTGTTTGCCTGAGCTGTTTATTTAAACACGCTTTTCCCACCACATCATATAAATCATTTGATTTTCTATACAATCCGACATCATATTAACTTTAAATTAACAACAACAGAAGAGTAAAAGTCCCAAGCTGGAGTCACATGGACAAAAGAATGAATGAATTTCTCCATCCATTATCCTGAAATTGTAATCCATCAGCTGTTTCGAACTTCAGCAATTATGTCGTCATGAAAGGGAAGCGGCTGGACTACAAATGAGCTGTTTTCTGGCAGTTCAGAGCAGTGTTTTCTGTGGGAGATGGGAACTCCCTTTGGGGTGGACTTTGGGCTTTTTCACTTTGCAAACTCAATAAAGGAGAGGGAAAAAGGCAAAAAACATTTACTCATTTAGCAGACACTTTTATCCAAAGTGACTTACATTTGATGAACAACATACAACATTTGAGAACAACATACAGCATTATACCACCTCTTTAACATAGTTTGGTTTATTGAGCCCAGCCAAGGAGATACAGTGCCAGCATTCAACATTTGAACACGTTAAATGCCAACACCAAATCTGAACGATAACAACAGAGCATTTGGTCACTTTTATGTTTCTGTCTTCCCCCTAGTTCCTGTAGGTTTCCCACTTAGTTCATCTTTAGCTGGCCTTTACCTAGAACAACAAATCTATCTGATGTTTAGACTCCGATGCTTCGTCAAATTGGAATCAAATTCTATCCATGAGTTGTACGCTAATCTGTGGAGCCAGTAAGTTTTTGTTAAACATTTTGTAAGACTCAACCTTGTCAGATTCCCAGAGAACACTGATTTTTGCCAGCCTGACGCCTGAGCTACTGTCTCTACCTTATCAGTCTAACTGTTGTCTCCCTAACAAGGACAGTTACATGTGAGAAAGAACTACAGCTGGAAGGTCAGTGAACACTTGTGGGGTCAGCTAATGACTCCAAGCTAGACCTGTCTTACTTTTCCTTGTCACATCAATTAAGACACCTGAGAATGTTCTATAACATTTATGACAAAGATCAAAACACCCTATGTTAATCTGTCACCATGTGCTGTGATGTATTGTGTTCTTTACTTTTAGTATTGATTATTTGACATCTTAGCATTGAAGGTGTCTGAGCTAATATCCACACAAACATGCGCTTTCTTAGCAGTGCCTGTGTGACTGATTGCTGTGTTTGTGTATGGCTTTCCTTTGAAATGATGCCCAACTTTCCAACGAATTGTTTGAATTGCTTTGTACGTAGCACTATTAGTAATACTGTATGAAGGGCACACTATTGCACACTGGTACTTACTGGCATAAAGGGTTGTAAAAATCTTATTAGCCCGTCTTAAAATGGAACAAAGTACCATTTACCTCAGAATAATAAAACACTGAAGAGGAAGTGAGTTTTGAAATATGATTGCAAGAAGGGCTGCAGTGATTCCAAAAATAAAGATAATAAGTGACTTATTACCATAATAATTACACAATGAATCAAGTTGCTAAATGGTCTGTATCCTTTCAAGTCTTCGCATCAACAAATCGTTTTACGCTACAACACATTCACCCATTCACACACTGTTCCCAGCTGTACAAGTGAGATGCTCCTAATTTCATAAAAACAAACCTTTTCAAAGGCAGATATATAATGCAGAGATATAAGATGGGGTCCAACATGCACATGCCATACTGATGCATGATGAGAGAAGCGTTGAGATTTACCTGATGCCACTGACATCAAGGGGTTCATCAAACGGTTGACATCTTTTAAAATGTATTTCTAACTGCATGTCCTTCCTTCTTCCTTAGACTTTTAAGATATTGACAAAATAATCCTAATTCATGGTCCTCTTACAATTTACTGAAATGGATGGCATTTGCTCAGTCAAACTGAGTAATGTAAATATAAACTGTCAGGTACAGTTGAGGCTGTGGCACAGGAGGAAGAGCGTGTCGCCCACTTATCGGTAGGTGTTTGATCCCCGGCTCCTCAAGTCTGTATGTTGAAATAACTTTGTCTAAGATACTGGACCCAAAATTGCTCCTGAAGGCTGTGTCATCAGTGTATGAATGTGTGTGAACGGGTGAATGCGACATGTTTTGTTTGTGCTTTGACTGGTCGGAGGACTAGAAAGGCACAGTCTATTTGACATTGGAAACAGCAAGTACGTGGCCCTTGAATTGGTGAAACTAATTTTCATGGAGTTTCGAGAGTACTCAGTGTGCTCTCTGGCTTTTCAGTCAATGTTGACGAAGTGTGGTTATAAATGGGATTAACATTAGAATGTACAAACCTAGAAACAAGAGTCTCCTTGTTTCAACACTGACCTGAGATAGATTGTGGTACCATAAAATATATTGACTCAGGCCTTTGTTTGTGTGCCAGTTAAGTCTGAATTTATCATTTTACGTTATTTGATTAATAAGTAACTCTTTTGATGTCATACTACATGTATCGGTGCTGTCGGTGACCCCCATTGGTCTTTTGAGCACACATAGGGGCCTATAAATTCTCACACTGTCACTCACTGGGAGATATTCACTGTCACTAACTCCTGGGTTCCCACAGTCTTTCAAAGGTAAGAACAATGTCTGGCAAAGTAATGAATATGGCAGCATCTTTTGAAAATGTGATTTTAAGACTTCTTTTTTGTTTTTTCAGCAAGTTGGTGTCGTGGATGTGGTCCATAATGGGGGTGCCTGGGGGTTTGTTATTGCTCCTAATTTTGCAGATTTTAACAGGAAGCACTTCAGGTAGGTCATGTAACATCTTGTCATCTTGGGTGTAATTGTACTTAAAAAAAAAACACATTTAAATAGATTTTTGTGTGGCTCCTTTGCTCCTTCTGTGTCATGCATGGATGCACTTCAATTAAAAGTCTTTAATTAAATAGTACTCTGCCTTTCTTTCTCCACACACAAATTATAAATTCAGGCACCAACAACATTGGGATGAATTACATAGTTCATAAAAGAACTTGTTAACTTTAAATTTCCCCAAATTTCTCTTTAAGTTGATTTAGGATAAAACATTTTATTTGGCACTGTCAGTATTTCTATTCCAGTGATTTAGTGAAGCCATATTATTCTTACATTAACTTCAATAATAAAAGTTAAGATGGCTTTTTTATAAATGCACCTCCAAATTAGCTGTCTGGTACATAATTTCACCCTTGCTTTTCTATAATATCAATATTACATGATTATATAATTTTCAGATATTCATTAGAAAACTTCCTGGTCCAGACAAAAATTTAACATAAAATGTTAAACAGTTTTTCAAACAGGGTAACATGGAACATGTGGAATTGAAACAACTCCAGACGAATGTTGTGGAGTAACTATTTACATGTAATTTTGTTAAATAATTTAATTACAAAATAAATTTAACTGTAATCCGCTACATTTACTGAAAAATGTATAACTAAATTACAGTTACTAATGAAAATGTTCATGATTACATTGGGGGTTACATCTGAACATTATCTGTAAAAAGCTCGGCTATATGTTGAATAATGTTCATTTTGTTGCTCTGCATGTTTTTCATGTGCACAATGTATTCCTTTGCAATTTCCTGCCATAGTCCTTACATTACTTTGATAAATTAATTGGTAACCTTCCCAACACTGCTCCAGATTAGGATCAGGGTGGGCAGACAATCAAAACTGTCCTGAAAAACACATAATCCCAGGAAGTAAAGTAAAGTAATCCAAGACACATGAAGGAGGACTCTCATAAAATAAACCAGGACATAGCTAAAGTCAAACCCAAAACCATAACACAAAGTCCTTTCTACCTGAACTGCCTTTGTAATAATAATCAACCATGACACAGTATTAAGAGACCACGTAAAATCTTGCATTCAGTTGTGAAAATCCTTGAAAATAAAATAAACAGTGGTAAACTTTGATGGTGATTGCACCTCTGGTATAACTCTACAGTGAGATTTGAACAGATGTTTTCTGTGTAATTGTACTCATAGGATAACTAAACATAAATGATCCTGAATTAGTTTTGTTCATTACGCCAATTGCATGTAATTTCACTGTAGTTTCACCGTTTTACCTGGAAAAGCTACTTCAAATTACTTACATCATGCACAAACTATCCTCTTACTTTTCACAGGGACACTTGTCTCCAGTTGTGATTCATGTCATGATGAAGCCACCTGCCTGGAGTCACGAGAAAGAGGAGACTCTCTCACCAGCCCGGCGCTCTCTTGTGTCTGTAAAGATGGATTTGTAGGCGATGGTCTCGCCTGTTACAATGCAAAACTCTGCAGTGACTCTTCTTGCTGTAGCCAAGGTTATCACTGGTCACCAGACAGTGGCTGTGTGGACACTGACGAGTGTTCCCTTCCAGACTCACCGTGCATGCCACCCCAGGTTTGCCAAAACACCCCAGGCTCTTTCCAATGTTTGGAGTCTTCCTCCAGCTCAAGATCGAGCCCCTCCTCTCAATATGTCCAGTTCAACTGTGGAAACACAGTTTGTCCTTCAGGCATGGACTGCATCAGTTATAATGGGGTTCTCCGTTGTGCTGACCCCTGTGAGCACTACACGTACTGAATGACGACTGGCGTTCAACGAATAACACATCAAATAGTCATTCACTGTGACCGAAATGTTAACTGGCAAGGCTGGTATCGCCTGTTACTGTGGCAAACCAGTGCTCATATTCCAGAGAGGTGTATACCTGAAAACAGGTGTGGAACCCATGCTACTATGTGGATAACAGAGCCTCATCCCACACAGTCTGATGAAATAGTAAATCGTACTGTGTGTAATTCCTGGCACAGCTGCTGCACTTTTCCGACACACACCATCCATGTCAAGCTCTGCTATGGAAACTACTACGTCTATAAACTTGTAAAGCCTTCCACTTGCTCACTTGCATACTGTGCAGGTATTATTCCATTTTAAACATCTTTACACTGTAACAACAAATGCAATGTTCTCATCTAAAGCATTCATTTATATTTTAAGAAAGTAGTGAAGAAACTAATGTCT